ACACAATAAAAGTGTACTTTACTACTTTTAGGGTAATATAAATTGTCGTTTTATTACTTTTACCTTACCCCTACTCTCTTCATTTCACTCAGAAAAAAAAGTACGTAGATCTACGTATTTTCTATATGGAAATTGTACCATTTCTACGTAATTTTCTAATCTGTCCTACGACTTTTTCAAAATCCGAGTTGGCAACACTGATTGAGAGTCAATCGGCTCGCGTCATGCTCAAATATAAAGCTTCCGTGAACATGTAGCGAAGTTTGTATGTTTAGCATTTACAAAGCCTGACAGGATTGCTAATGTTTGGCCAAAAAACGTTTCCCAAATTATCACATCGCAAACAACGTTTCGCAAATTTTCATTTGGCAAATTCTCTTTTGGCAAAGCAACTTATTGCAAACTTTTAATTCGCAAATGTTGTTTTTGACATATTATTGTTTAGCAAATTATTGTTTGGCAAAGTATGGTTTGCCAAATGTTTCATTAGGCAAAAAATATTCACGATAAACTATTTACAAAATAATTTGATTGGTGCATAGATTGGATACAAATTAGCTTGTGGATATTATTTTGTTTAGTGGGTAGTTAATATAAAATTTGTTCTACATTAATTTCCTTATTTCATTCTTTTTATCGAAATTTCCAAACGATTCATTAACAATAGAGGTGATACTAGCGCTCGGCGGCCGCTGCCGCGGCACGCTTCGCTCGCCTTCGCGCATTAAGGGTCACTGTTCTAACCTAACCTAACCTACTTTTTTCTGTAATACCTACTTTTTGCAACCATACTATTTCCTGCAATGTTTTACATAAACTAAATAAATAAAATAAATAAAATTCTTGTGAAAACCATAATCATGTGCCTTATACTTTGATTTGTGGGTAACGGTGGGTAAGTATGTGAAGTGTCAATTTTACCAAACAAATTATTTGGGATATAATATTTGGCAACATAAAACATTTGCTATATAAACATTTGCCAAGTAAAATTTAGCCAAATGATAATTTGACCAAAATGAATTAGTTGCGAAAAGTACAGTTGCTAAAAGTTCATTTGAGAAATGAAACTTTGGCGATAAGTAGTTTGCGAAGTGAAATTTGGCGAAAAGTAATTTGGGCAAACGGAAGGATACCAGCCTGACAAGCTAATACATTCTTTAGATCGTTCACGGTATGCGTGTATGGTGGGTGACTGCTGAGAGTAACAAAACTAACAATAAAATTTAAACTTAAAGTTTTGGGCTGGACACTGTGTACCTACCACGAGTTTACGTTAGGTGTGCTCGCTAGCGAGTACGTCAAAAATCTCTATGAAGATTTTGTTTCTTGAAAGTAGTCACTAGGGGCGCTGCACAATATGTCATACAATTTAAATGTCATTTTTTTACGCAGTCGCTAGCGAGCACACCTAACGTAAACTCATGGTAAGCACACTGATGTATTGGTTTGTTACTGACAAGAAGAAGAGATGAGCTACTCATCTCTGTTGTAACAACTACCTACTTAACTAGGAGGATCTACCCGAGAAAGCAATTTGGTCTAAGTAGGTACCTACCTACTAATGTGAACTGCTTTCGAATGGAAAGAAATACTTACCTACCTAGTTACATTATATTATTTAAAGAGCATTTTATAGTTAATCCTACGTGACTGGGATCGCAGCTTAGACTAGATAGTTGGAAGATACTTTTGCAAAAACAGTTAACCTAATCCGTAGCCATCAAATTGACCCATAACTCGTATTTCTGAATGACACTCGTAAAAAAGATCTTTTCACAAGTTTTAAACATTTCGCGTGCGCTTGTAAAAATCTCTTCTCTCTGTATTCCCTGATAGATAACGTGACGTTGTCTTTATAGGGCCATAAAGTAGTTATTGCTGCGAGGCGATAACGGCGATTTATAACACTTTAGTTGGTTCTGGGCGCCATTTTGAGGGCCCTACTAACACATCTCCTCTTTTCCTGCGTCCGTTATGTAGGCCTATACTCTTGCTTATCTAGGAGGGTGCTGAAATATGAGTATAAACTTTTATATTCACAGCTATTCATGGCAAGGATTTTTTCTTGTCAACGTTGTACTGTAATGAAAAAGATAGGTAAAACCTCATTCAGAGTATTTTTAAAGAAATCGAGAGAAAAGAAAATATGACAAGTGTGAAGAAAAAGCCTATTTTCGTGATTTTTGCATTGCGATACCAGTCAAAGATGAGGCGTCACCTAGTACAGGTAGACGCGAAACGATTTAATAAAATTGTTTTTCCAAGATTTTCTCGAAAAATAAAGGTTCTCGCGCGGTAGGTACCTATTTACCGCGGCCATAGTCATATTATATAATTTACTTATTAGCTTTTCTTTTATGCTTTATAATTCTGGTAGGTATTCAGTAGTTTTGCAAGCATACTTAGGTACCTACCTACTTATCTTCTAGTCTCTTGATAATTTAGAAAGTCACTTAGATCAATTTTATCCAGAGCTTTCTCAATTAATAGAATGATCTCATAAATTAGGCAAATTTTATTATTGACTGAATGACGGCAAAAATATTTTAATTTTGTGAAATTAGCTGCAAATTACTGGCAAAGGGTAGGCGCGTTATATTTCATTGCGAAGCGGATCTGCCGTAAAGTAAATTTTTATAGCGGTGCGGTGACGTAAATATGAATTGTCCAGCGAAATATAAGTGTCCATTGTTCCTGCTCCGCAATGACCGTGCCACTCTTAACAACAGATAGGTTCTGGCGTTTTTATAGCTCTCTACGTAATTAAATGCTTTGTCGTTATTTCATTCCACATAATAATAGTAACTCTAGGTAAGAGGTAGAACTACCCGATAGTATGAAGTAACATTAAATTGCAAGTTGCAGCCTAGGTAGGTAGGTACATAATAATAAAATAACTCTTGAAGACAGTAGGAAAAGTATGAGCCGTAGCCTCAGAATCGGTAGAACGATTGCGTCTTAAACGTCGTATGAGACGAAAATCTCACTACCGTAATCAAATATGTGGTCAATATCGCCCAGTAGATAACGGAATCTGGGATCACCACACGGTCCCTAAACTTCGCTCCGTCGCGTCGCGTCGCGTTCCCGTCACATAGTTTAATTTTCATGTTCGCGTGATTGCCGCTGCATTCCCGTCCAGTTGATCAGTTCCCGATCCAGTTCGTTGATCCCATGAAACTACATAATGCGTTGGAAACTACCTACCTTACTTAATGCCTTTTTTACACAAGTTTTATACAACCAGTAATGTAAAAACTAACTTAGTATAGCCATTTTTTGTGACTCAGTTTGGGAAGCCCTGCCATAAAGTAGGTATAAGGGATAGACTATTCTGTACTGAGCTTATGGGTATTTCGCCGAAACAGTAAATTTTCTGTGTCCAGGCAGGCGAACACATGTTTTTTTATATCTATCTGTATAAAACTATTTTTATGGGAAAGTTCATCAAAAGTTTTATTTGTTTTTGCTATTACAATAGCAGAAACTACAAATAATACCGTAGAAAAACTTAATCAAAAGTCGTTTTTCTAATTTCCTTGTCATGTCCATTACTGTTGTTTGCCAAAATGAAGGCTCATTATAACAAATTGAAGCGTAATTTAATTCTAAGAGCACTCTCTTTACATTTGAGAAACGTTTGGCTATCGGAAAATAAAAACTTTAAATGTCAAATACTTATAGGAAGAAAATAAAGTGAAGTTCTTGTCCAGGTCAAAAGTATAATTTCCCTGGGTCTTCGTTTCGACCATTGTTGTAACGAAACGAAAATTAAACTTAGAATGGAACGCACTGCACCACTACACTCGGCCATTTCGTCCCAAGAGGCCATTGAGGCAGGACAGCACGTCGTTGATCAGTTTTGCGACAAATCGCATAAATAGGTCCCTCCTTGGGTTTTTGTTTACTAAAAAGTCAATTTCTTTGGACGGTTTTTTGCAACTAAACAATGGATTAATTTTATTGTTTATTTACACAAATGTAGTGTCTGTAGGGGTAAACCCATGATTTAAATAGTAAATGTATAGGGTAAATAGGTTTTTGTCTGTGGTGTCTTTTAGGCATAAATCTAATTTCTTTGGTCCTAATTTCCTTGTTTTCCGTGGCATAAAATGACCTAGGAAATTATAAAAGACCATTAATAATTCGGCGTAAAGTCAAATTTTGAGTATTTCTTTATTGGAATAAGTTTAAAATTTACATTTTAAGAAATAGGTATCAGAATAGATATAGAAAAACTTGTTTTTAACTTTTAACTCAATCTACTGCATTTATCTCCCTTAGTTGTGTAAAAAGGTCGTAATGATATAATATTCATTGGCATGTTTGCTTGCGAAAGTACACAAAAATAGGTCGAACAAAAAAAAAGCAAACCACAGAAGAAAACTTAGAGAAAAAAATATTTATAATAATTTCCTTGGCTACCAAAAATTTATGACCTCATAACTTTGTTTCTAAAACGAATTATGACACCCCTTCTAGATATATTAGCTTAGTTTTTACTACTTAATGCAATGGGAAACTAAAAATAGTTAAAAACAAAAATAAAATTAGTGCCAAGGAAATTAGGCAAAATTGACCATTTTTGGCGAAATACCCTTATAATGTAGGTATAGATGACCCACGCTGAACTGTCCCGCCAAACTCAATGACAGGGGGGCGCTACCATCGTTCAACTATATGGTTTCCAACATGGCAAAAATCTGAACCAGCGATCCGGTATTGACGGTGGCGCCCCACTGTCAATGTCATCGACAGGACAGTCCAGTATTTTGGAACTATACACTAGATTTATTAAACAACTATGACATATTTCAAAATAAGAACATAAGTTATAGGAAAAGTATGAATAAAACTAATTCTGTGTTTCTTTAAAACGCCCAATATTCGCGAGGTATCGCCTTAATACATTTTATTAGTAAATTACTAGCAGAGGCTATTTAAATTCGGATAAAGCACTCAATAGCTTGTTTTTAAGAAGAAAATAAACCAAAAAATAGTTTCAAATTTTATTGAAATAAAATTAAATATTTTGTCAATAAATATCTTGTGGTGGAGGACTTCCAAATAGAAACTTCCATGATACAGGTTCAATTAGTTGTGCCGTGAGATCAGATGATTCAGGAAATAGTGGCAGTAAACTTGCTAAATGGCTAACCATCTCATATGCATCTGGTATATTATTTCCCTCAGAACAGTATTTGAATAAAATTAGACAAGGCAGTGAATTTTCTTCACAAATTTCATACAATAATGTTGCAAATCCACCACCATATATTTTAAGTTCCTTATCACGTTTTTCATGTTCCATCCAATCCAGAGACTTCACTTTGGACAACAATGAGAATGAGTTGCTCGCAACAAATCTAAATGGTGAAGTAGAGATGTGTCTGTTTTCATGAGCAAAACTGCTACTCAATATAATTATATCCTTAATATTTCGCTCCGTAAATTTTTTCACAACTTCTTCTAAAAATTCTCTTGCATATTTATAAACAATAGGCGCTCTTAATTGTAAAACAACTAGATTTTTAGAGGCGCATTTGTAGATCTCGCAACAAGTGGACAACTTAGAAGACTTAAGGTCATAAGGATCATATCCTACTACTGGAATAAGAGCGGGGCTGTATACAGAAGCTATTTTCACCATATCCAAGGATGAAATCAGCAAGTCACAAGCTAGTTGTCCAACATTTCCCACTGCAACACTTGTAACAATAAAAGTGTATCCTGACAAATCACCATCTTCTATGAACTTCCAAATATTTGTTTCACTCATTTTTAATATTAATTTTGTCTAGAATAAACCAGAATAACTGAAAAAATTTTTTGTTAAATTGATTAGAGGTTATGTTTACGTCCGGTAAAATGACAGATTTTTGACACAATGACAAAGGATATTTTGATTTTTTAATTTTTCCTCTCTCAGAAACCGGCTAAGGACAAAGATGAGGCTGTTCACAGATATCCATCTGATGCTGTCTATAATTAAGTCATCAGTTACAATGTCTATGAAAAGATGACACAAAATTATCAAAATCATAGAAGCCAAAATGACCTTTATGCCATAGCCCTAAGCCCTATCCCAAAGATTTTCACAACGACCGGCTCTGTGTCGTCGCACTACAGGCAACAGTATCGTAGTCCTTCTGTAGTGCTTCCATTATCCGGTATTTTGTAGCTCAGTCAGTCAAGAAATTCCTATCTTCGCTCCATGATTACAGTGTCATATATTGCACATTTTGAGAGCTGGAAAAAACTTCTGTTAGAGTTGTGGTTTGAGTTAAAATTAAATCTTGAAGAAATATGAGCTCATAAATGAGTGTAAGATCTATCATCCTTCATTATATCATTACTTGATTTCATTTTGTAACTCGTATCACTTATACTTGAAAATGGCACAAATCAAGTCGACCTCGACGTGTATTGCCATCATCAAAAAAGAAGAAGAAATGAGTGTAACTTATGGTAACACCGACCACATATTCATTCATTCATAGTAATGACTCTCATTCACCGTTCATTCATTAAAGTGTCAGATTCTTTTCTGTTGGAGAATTTCTCCAATTTTCTCCATTGTTTCGAATTTTTGCTTTTCCAGGTATTGCTTTATTCAGATACATAAATGTGTACAATCCATAAAGATTATTTTTATTGTTTAGCGTATCAGGTTTAAAATATAATTTTGATCTGATTATGACCGAAAAAGAAAGTGTTGATCCGCAGTTGGAAGATTTTATCCTTGCTGAAACCCAGAAACAAAGATTTCAGGTACCTGTAGAAGAAATGAAAACAATATTAAATGTGTTACAATTGTAAATAATTAGATAAAATATTTATCGTGGTATTTAGTTTTACGACCAAATATATAACCTCATAGTTCCTGACCTTTGGCCTGTATTTAAAAGAACATAATTAATTCAGATACACTGTTACTTACTTAGAGTGTATTAGTTTTTCAAGGTTTACCGATAGCTTAATTCGATAGTGTCTTCTACGACGTTAAATGTTCATTTTATTTTCATTACAGGTGCTTGTCCATGGTTTAACAGACACTTGCTGGGACACATGCATGGGCCGGCCCGCCACGCGCCTCGACACTAAAACTGAAGTGTGCATCATGAATTGTGTAGAGCGATTCATTGACGCTACTACCTTCATCACTAAACGTCTAATGAACACAACCAAATACCGTTCTGACTCTCCCCTGGAATTCCAATAATTTAATATCAAGAGTACAACAGAAAACTATTTACAACCATGTTTTCCAGTATCAGAAACTTTTTGCACCGTCATAAGAGGAAGTTCATAGTGACGGGTGCAGTTTTTGGTGGACTTTATATACTAAGTAGTTATGCCCAGAAAAAACTACGAGACTGGCAGGAGAGAGAAACCAAAAAGTTCTTTGACATGACTCGCAAAAAGCAACATTTTGAAAGTACAGAACGTACCTGCAACCAAACAATACTTTCCTTGTCAAAGATTGTTTCTGAAAGTATTCTTAGTGTTTTAAACACAGAAGAAATTGTGAAAAAGTTGCTAGAAAATCCTGATAATAAATTGGAACTATGGGAGCAGTTGAAAATTATGATATTTACAAGAATATGTGTGCTTGTGTATGCCTTGTGTATACTGCAAGTCACTCTGAGGGTCCAGCTGAATGTCATCGGTGGTTATCTTTACAGGGACTCGGTCCAAGAAGATGAGCAACTGGTTGATAGTGAGCTGCAAGCAAAGTACTTATCTTTGTGTCATCACTTTGTTGGTAAAGGCGTAGAAGATTTGATTAAACAGATTGAGAAAGCCGTGAAAAGGGTTGTTGAACCAATCTCTCTCAAAAAGAAGATAACTCTACAAGAAGTAGAGCAAATGTTTTGGTCAGTACAGACAATATTGTGTACAGACACTACTGAAGGTGACCCGGTAAAGAAGATGGTACACTACCTAGTTGGCCATGCTGAGATAAATGAAGCTAGATTAGATACAATTGTAAAAGAAACAATGGACATTTTAGAGAGTGATGAAGTGTCTTCAATCACTGTCTCTTCTATCACCCGTAGTTTTTCATCTGTTATTGATGAAATGGCCAACCTTTTTGTGACCAAATCAACTCCCATGACAAAAAACCATTTAGAAGTAGATGAGCATGTGGTAACAAATGGAGCTTTAAAGTTAGGAGCAGCCCCAGAACCGTTTGTGGATGTAAACAAAGTGGAGATGTTCTTTGTGAAGCTGCTGCCACTTGTGAACGACCTCATCGCCAAGAACACTTGCAAAGGGAACACTAACATTCCAGATATGCTGATCCAACAGCTTACTCTGAATGATAAGCTGAAACTATTGGGAGCTAATATTTATGAAGTATTCAGTGGAGCATAAAGAATTCCACTTACATAATTGCTCTTAGACCCTGGTCTGGTTTAGATTTCAAATTATTCTCTGGTGATATGTTTAGCTTACAATTTACAGTGTTAAGGTAATTTTAACTTATTGTGATGATTGGTACCTAAAAAGGGACATTATATTTTATAATTAATTACTACTTGGTAACTTAAAATGATTATTGAAACTCTTGGCACATTTTATGTTTAACTAGCCAGTTTAGTTTAGGTGTTAAGTACTTTTCTATAATCATGCATTTGGGGAAATTAAAGTTATATGACAAATTATCTTTTTTAATATTTTGTAAGTCTCAAACCTGAAACATTTTTGTTTTCTTCATAGAAATAAAAAAATATTAAGGCATAATATTTTGTACTGATTAAAATTAAAGTAACTAGTAAACTTCATGTAACCAAAATATCATATTACTCTCTCCTCTACAAAAAAATCCATCTCAATTTTAAATGTTTTCCCCAATCCTTTTTTAACTGACAGAGATTGCCCTAACTAAGTAATAAGTGTAGAGTGTGTTCAGCGCAGTAGAAAGTAGCTCAGTGCAGAATCATTAGCGATGCGTTTTAATGAACCGTTACCGAACCTCAGGAAAAGGCCTAAAGTGCTTTAATTAACTCCAGGTAGATAGTACCTACGTTAGGGCATCACAATAAATAAACACAGCAGCTTAATCGAAACTGCAGCTATGGTAAACAAAAGGGTTTAGTCGGTACTTGAACATGAAATACTAGGATAAGTTTCCACCTCATCGTGAATATGAATATGACGACTGCACGTAATGAGGTGTAAAGTACAGCGCGAGTGCCACAGCAAACGCCCCGCAATCTGGTTTTGCAGACCGCAATGGCTAAGCCACTGCTACTTAGTCGCAATATTATCGAGTCTGCAGTAAACTTAAAAAGAAAAATCTCCAGCGCCCCAGTTTTAGAAACAAGAACTTCAGTACCTAAGTAGTCACTGATAGCTGATAAAGAAATCTCCCGCAAGTGTGCTTTGTCCCATGTTGAATAATTAAATACTAGGCCTGCCTAGGAAAAAAACAAAGTGGCGCGAACAACTTTTTCAAATCAATAAATCTTGTAATTGAGAACATTGTTGCGAACGATGTTAGTTAGGTACAATAGCTAAAAAACTGTTTTGAAATTAATGTCTCCCATGCACCCATGAGCACACTGGATCTATTTAGAATAGAATAATCTTTATTGCCAAAACTGTGTACAATTTGTGCTGGTCACAATGCAAAAAAATATTTACTTAGCTACTTACCTAATAAAAACTAAACAGAGTACCTAAGTAAGTTGTTAGTGGAGCAACATTCTCCTGTAGGTATGCTGTGAATGTGCAGACAGAAGAGCTCAATAATTCCGACAATAGGAAATTAATTTAAACATCCGAAACTTTTTAAAAACTCAATGTTAGGAATTTTTTCACTATTCAATTCGGGCGTTCCGCTCCGATAAGTTAGTGCTTCCATTTTTATGTTCAAAGTTTCAAAGATTATTATCTGAACGGCTAACTATACAGCGTCACGAGGGCAGCACGCAATAAGTAAATACCTACTTATCATTAATTTTCGATTATTCAGAATAGCTTGCTACATATTTTTAGTGATCTGTGATTCAGAATGATCATATTTATAATGATAACGTGTATGTTTACTTTTCCATTAGAGCCAGACATCTCTGTTGTTAGAGTCGATCTTTACACGCAAATAAGCTATGCACAAACGTAAAAGGATATTGATAACCACATAGTTTAGGTACTTTATTGATCTAAGGATAGCCACCATAAATTAAAATTAGGGAAATTATTTATCATAATTTTACCCTACAAAAATAAGTAGATAAGATACCTACATAATACCTACTCTTCTTCCAATTCTAAACTAACATCTACGCCATAAAATGGTGCCACCGAGAAGTCGTAAACAGCTGGTATGCAGATTTTGGGTAACTCAAGATTTTGTTTTGGTTTCAAAATGTCGCTATCGCAACACTGATTGACAGTGGCGCGGATGCACAAGCGCGTTATAAATAACAACGATGAAGTCTTGTGTGGATCTTCGATTCAGTGTGTTGTGGTGAGATGTTACTATAACATTTGGGAAGAATACGGTGAACAGTTATAGAAATTTAAATGCGCGGTGAAACTTTCGACTAAGTACGCTCGGTTATTCTCATTACTATTGATGATTAAGTCAATTTCGACCCTGGCGACCTCTTCTACTCGGTTTGCTGCTGGGGTACTCGATGGCTGATGCGGTGATCGAGTAGATATTGGGGATCTTGGCGGTAAACTCCCAGGCTCGTGCACAACGAAGACACGTGAGGTAGGATGCTCACTTTGTTGTGTTAAGGAATGGCAGCTGGTGGACTCAAGGTTTCAGGTATTAATATGGTCCATGTCAGCTTTGCGCTACTCTCATTAGTAGTTTTCAGTTGACTGTAGGTGGTTAGGCTACTATAGACTGTATAGTTCAGATGTGTTCAGTGATTAGTCCTGAAAGAAAGAAGTCTTCTACAATCTTAAGTGTTCTTCGTAGTCGTCATATCTTCGTGTGTCACATTTAATTAAATTTGGCTCTCCTACCTACATATTTAGGCAGTAGGTACTATGGTAGAGTAACCTTTTGAAGTTTATCCATAACGGGATTTAAACCAATGCCAACGTGTAGCAAACTTAGAACTTTAAATTAACTTGTTAATTTTTTTTAAACTAATTATCGACAACGATTGTTTTATTGCGTGGTTAACCTATGTTAACTACGTAAGTATTTGTCAAATCTCAAAATCGTGCCATGAACGATTTAATTATCAGAATCGGGACCCAGTGGGAATTGCATGCCAAATTGACGTTTAATGATAGCTAGATAAATACCTGCGACGCGACGGAATGTGTGTGTGTACGCTGTATTGTACACGCAAATAACACTTATCAATGAAGTTACATTTCGTCATTATATCTACATTTGCAGATAACTCAATGTTTCAATGCTACTCGAATACATTTACCTACCTAGCAACGAAATTATGTAGGTAGATCTAGCTATTTTTCTAAAACTAAAAATTTACTAGTAGATATTTCCTGAAAACTGTTCTGCTAACTAGTCTTTCTAAGCCTTCTTTTTTCATATACTACTTATTCTTAAGGAAATTATCAAATGAAATAAGATGCGATTGTTTAGGTCCGATTCAGTGCCAGCAGCATTTCATAAACAAAATGCGTACATTGCATTGAGAACTCTGAAAGTGTGACATGCTGCGAGGTGGCTGTAGGCTACGTAGATATCCGTCAATGCGGCTCGGATATGCGGCAGCGGCTTGCGCGCGCAGCACCGGCCCGCCAATACCGACCGGTGGCACCCGAAGAGCGCGCGTCGCCTCGCGCCTTCCGACAACCGATATCGACGCGCAAACACTACGCACACTCGATTAAAGTGAAATACAGTGATCCCTTCCCCTGATTAAACATCACCCAAAAAATACCCATCAAACACCCCATCACAAAGCATCGATTGAAACCTTATCAGTTATCACAGGACAGTGCAACGCGCGGTTTCATGTAAGTACATTCCTCAGCTGTATTTAAGAACGTGCAGTGACTGATGATAGATCGTTTGACTGTAGGTAGGCTGATTTATGAATGTATTAAATCTCAAATATCGTCACGGTTTTGTAATGAAGCAATAAAAACTAACAACAACAAGGCAAGTGCAAGAAGGCTCTATCTACACTGAAGAAAATATTATAGGATTAGTAAAAAATAATACTTACTTAACTACTGTTTTTGATACCTTTCAGTAATAATTATTAATTATTAAAATTCTGCGACACTTTAAGTATACCTTGGCATTGAAACGTAATGTAACACAAAATATTTATCAGAACAGCGTAATGTTTGTGTACTCACCAGCTTTATTTTATTGCTATAGGAGCTCTACATTGAGAGCCGTACCTCTAGTAGGAAAAACTTTCGAGTTCGTTTCGTTGCGTATTCAAAGTGTCATCGAAAAATTTTGTATGAAAAATTAAACAGCGCCCCCTATATTATAGCCGCCCTAGGGGGCGCTGTTTAATTTTTCATACAAAATTTTTCGATGACACTTTGAATACGCAAACGAAACGAACTCGAAAGTTTTTCGTACTAGAGGTACCGTTTTATGTCACGACTGTAGTTAGGTACGAAATAAACGTATTATAAAGAATTGGTATTTAAAGCTGTAAAACGCCTAAAAATCGTTACAATTGTAAGTGATGATGACGCAGAATTGGGGTCTTATTTTGACTCCTAAACTTAAAGTCGCTAAGGGCGTTATCGTTATGTAACGTGTCCCTTGCAGTGTGGACATGGTCGGCACGCCCCATACTCACCGGCTGCATTCGATATCTCCATATCAAATCGTTTAGTTGACATACGATAGCCATAATTTTTCAGTCCGTAAATAACGACGCTATTATGTTGATTGCTCTATCGTTAAATGTTTCAATTTAATTTAAAACTATCTTATTCAAATCGAGAAATCTTATTAACATAAGTACAAACTCATTAGCGATAACCAAATCCAACCAAATGAGTTAATTAACAGCCACAGCTTCATTGTATTAAAAATTAAGATATGGTTTGATACACTATTTAACGTAAACTTCTAGTAAATATTTTACTGATCTAATGCTTTATGGAATAACGGCTATTAAAGAAACCAATCGTAACGTAAGACCTTAGAATGTATTTTTTCTAAGCGTAAGACATTAATACCTAAATATAGTTTTGTTTACGCATTTTTATCGGTCTGCCGTAAGTGGGCACTTAATTATTAAGTGACCCGGGTATCTTTAGCACTTTTTGTTTGTGACTCAAGTGTAACCTACCTATCGGCCAAATATGGCTATTTTGTTAATTCATGCAAGTATATTAATTTAGTCTTACTGGTAGAGTTCTGTACCTCTAGTAGGAAAAACTTTCGAGTTCGTTTCGTTGCGTATTCAAAGTGTCATCGAAAAATTTTGTATGAAAAATTAAACAGCGCCCCCTAGGGCGGCTATAATATAGGGGGCGCTGTTTAATTTTTCATACAAAATTTTTCGATGACACTTTGAATACGCAACGAAACGAACTCGAAAGTTTTTCGTACTAGATGTACAGAACTCTACCAGTAAGACTAAATTAATATACTTGCATACTTTACTACTGTAGAGAGCTATTTCCCTTCTATGATCTGAGGCTATTCCTATTTCCTATTGTAGAGACATTTAAAATCCATAATTTTTCCAGGATTTCAAAATAAACACTTGGCAAATGTGAGAAAGTGAGAAGAAGTTCCGGCAGAAACTTTGTCACCACAGGCTGCCAAATAAAATAATGATAATGATGCAAAACTAGCTTCTGCCTATGGCTTTGCCCACGTGAATTTCAGTACACAAAAAGTCATACCAAATCGATAACGCGCTAGAGACCCCCACGTAAAACACTTTACTTATTTGTTAATAAAAGATATTATGTTTTATATTCCTTACGTGAGAAAATATTGATTCCCTGTATGTACTTACTTACTACATTTTCATCGTAAGGTAAGGACATTCGAAAAGGCTCCAGAATCAAAACTATTTTTACACAACAATAATCTGAAAACATAATATAACAGACCGAGTAAATTTCGGATTTATTATAAGTTTGTAAAAGTAACACACGAACGCATTCGTGAAAATTAATTGTGTTTGTATGTCGTTCTGTCACTGGACGTATAGTGTTATTTGTATGGAAATAAATTATTTTCAACAACACAAAGCTCAAATCAGCACACATTTCATATCCGCGAAAATCGTTATCATGACTACCTAAATGAAAAGTTTGCAAGTTCTGACATTCTTATGAAAACATTTTATTTGCCATTCGTACAAATATGTACGAGTAATGGGTAATTATTGTAATTCGATAGGTACCTACTTTTGGAATTCTGTTTTCCAGTTGTTAAAACTCAATTGTTAAATTGAGTTTTAACTGAAAATCGCACAGAACGTATTAACGTAGGTATATTATACGGAATGCTAAATGGTATTCCTCACTATATTTTCGGCCGGACAAAAACCATGCCATAATATTTTTCTTATGTCAATTTCGTCGTCAGTTTAGCGACCTCGTTTCTTCACACAAAACCGTAGTGTTTCGATGAACAGCTAATAGGTTTTTTAACGCCAATGACATCAGTGATAACGGGGTCCGTTTATCATTTCAGTCCTCAAAACACGCGGTAGTGTTTAAGCCAGGCTTATGCAGAAAATAGCATCTTTTCAATAAACCAGTTTTCCTAACAATACACAATGGTGCTGATTAATATAATATATAATAATGTAAAATTTATTTCGACCACATACATATCTAAGTTAGTTGGAAAAAAAGAAAGTTAAGAACAGAGAGGAAAGTTTAAAGAAACTAATACTTACCTGTATAGGTAGGTCTAAAGCCTTTCCCAGAAAAAATCGTAAAAATCCTTATATTTTACATGTCATCCTTGAATGCTATCTAAGTTTACTTATTATGTAGTTGATCGGTTCAAAAATTTGGCCAAACTAAAAATGTGAAGTCCCCCGGAAAATCCACGCTAATGAACTGGCATAGTCATTTATTATTATCAATCTGTACCTAAACAGTATAAATGTAAAATGTATTACAGTGCTTCATCAATTACTTATTCATTTAATTAATTTTGCGACTATTAAACTAAGTAATAGAAAAATAAGGAAAATAATTGCTTTTTTAAATAGTTAGGTAGTTTTTTAATGAAACTCATTAGAATTATCGACAGATGACGTCCATTTTATCTTTTTATTTCCATACACGAATATCTAATACATAGTTGATTCGTTCGAATAAACTGAAGCGTAAAATTTTCATCCAAGTCCAGCCCAGCCTTTCCGTCCAACAACTGAAGAAAATTTCGTTATCGTATGCAGTTTGCTGAAAAGTTACGCAGTTAAAAATTAAATTAGCTCGGTTAGTTGTTTACCATTCGAACGCTTCAGTTACTTGTTTACCATTCGAACACATGATCGTCTCGTGCCTTGATCAATCGCACACACTCACTAAATGGAGGAATCACCACTCATCCAGAGGGACTCTACATACTAATCGTCTAGTTTTTAAAAGCAACACGCACGATTACCCCAGCGGGCTTAGATCACGCGAAATTCATATTATGGGTACCTACTAGTTTTTATTCTGTGTTGTAGGCTAGATTTCTGTAAATACTGACACTCCTAGCCCCGTGTCAGCCCGTGTGAGTACTAGGCTGGGTGATTGGTTATCGTGAAAACTCGCAGAATTGACTTCGCTCTTTAAGTGCAAAAACTGTTTTTATGTTGAAGACGTAGATTTGCTGTTTTTGTTATAACATAAAATTGGCATATTATTTTAGTTTGATAGTACCTACCTAGTTACCTTCTTAAAAACTAGTCTACATACAACCTCCCTCCCTAAAAATGTAACTATAAGGTACTTACTATGTTACCTACCTCCTACCTATACCTATCTTACTAATTACTGTATGAAATGCGTCATCATCAGTAGTTTCAAAACCATAACAATAACTAAGGCAACTTATAGATTTCAAACATTGCTACGGCTATCGTGTGCTGTGAAGCAAGTTTATTATTGATATACAGTATAGTACCTATGTACTTTGATTTTAAATGACATTAAATCACACGGCTAACTCACTTGCTGTAACATTTATTGCGATTTCAGTCATCAGTTAGGTTACACTTTATGAGCAAAAAACTTTTATTAAATAAGAGATTGGTTTGGTACTTTTCAAACACGTGAAAATGTAGATTCCAAGCTAAACTTCTTTTTGGCATGAAGTTATAATATTGTAATCGTTATGTAAGAATTTGGATTTTATTCAAATGTGGACTGGGAGAGAATTACTTAGTATGGCGACAAGTTCACATATTTTGTACAATAAAGTTGTTAAAAATCATATAATAATACTCATTGCACACCGTTAACGATTGTCTATGGTCCTTACGAGGCTACCTTCGTATTCCCCTTTATACTTATGTATTCCCCAGTTTCGCGCACCAGACTCTACATTTTTGTTGCAATGTAGCTCCCATTACACAAACAAATAACATAGAAACGCCACAGTGTTAACTTGACATGCTGTCGTTCGTACAGGGTACCTAATCATTTTCTGTTTTTGTTTGCCCGAGGTGAATGTAAGTTCGATTAAATCCCAAAAACATCTGTAATTTGTGACTCACAAATGCGAAATTGTGATACTGTTATAATTTAAAATTGCGACGTAGTTGTGGTATTCTTTGATAACAAACTAATACAATCGGTACTGTTGAATGAACGCCTATCATTGTATTTCTACACGGGCATAATGATGTCCCGAATATTAATTAAAACAAAGATAACATAAGACTGTCATTTTTTAACAGTAGATATAATTTTAAACATTTATGTACGAGTCCTATCCATCCACTCTACTTCCTACTAATAAATATTAGGTAATTATTGTGAAGATGGATGGTTACCTAATTAAACCACTGAACTTTTGT